AAAACAAGTATACTCGGTACAACGAATGAATACAAACGCAAGCTCGGACACCCAAACAGTATTGTATAAAACGTACAACATGCGCCCTTGTGCATATACGTATTGCGGAGGGGTGAGATTATGTTTTTCCAAATGCCATCTCTCGGATCGATCAAAATAAGAAGAGCGCGCGTGTCACAATATGCATATATAAACGCACAAAGAAAAGGTATTATGTAGTCGTCGTGCACGGCGCAACTGCACCGACAGGTAAAAACCGCACCGTATATCTATATGCTTGTGGAATAAAAGTAAAAAAAAAAAAAAAAAATACAAAATGGCCACGTGATGGGGGATCCGCTCGTCCCGTGCACCCTCTTGTCTCCTTTGTACAGATATATACTTGTACGCTCGGGTCCAAATCGGGAGGACATGAGCTACAGGGCTATCGAAAAATGTTTTGACTCGCGCCCCGACATGTATATATACGTATACACATACGCGTGATATAACACGCAGCCGTACGGTCTCCGGGACAATGGGGACTCGGAATAATTCGAGGATGACTCTCCCGGGTGTCCCGCGAGTATTACACGGCAGAATTGCAACGGCAGCCGCGTGAATGGAAGAGGACACCGGCGATTAAAAAAAAATCACAATCGAGGAGTTTGGAGATACGAGATCTCGAATGTTTTTTTTTTTTTTTTTTTGCTTTCCTGCCACCCGCGGTAGGTTACACTCTCTCTCTCTCGATCGTTATCGTCGCACGCGCACACCTACGCGTTCTAGTTAGCCGCGTAATGAGTTGCCACGGGTGGCTGATCCGGCAGCTACCGATAACGATGTGTTTTTTTTTTTTTCTTTCTTTTACATATATACCTACACAAAAGTGCCAGATACGATGACTGGCGAATTAAAAGTGGTATCCGCAGCGCCAAGAGGAGCGGTCCATTATATATAGGTGGGGTATGATCGATCGTCGGCGGGTCCCTCTGTGCACATATATAATATATATATATAATACGTGTGCGCACCATTTGGATGATGACGACGCCCGCGGGCGTGTGATCGAGCGACGCGATATAGCAGCTCACCTGTAAATAAATGCAAGATGATAATGCCCCGGCTACACCTCCATGATGCTCTCTGCCGTGATTAAACCTCCCGGTGCTGAATGTCGCAACTGTATTTTATCATAACCGGTGTATACCCCTTGTTCATCTATACAACGATATAACGCTGGTTTGCTTTGACGGCTCCGATGGGTTTCAGCCCCCGGCAATGGTGTACCGCACAGAGAGCGCGAAATCATTGCCGATGATGATTGAGGGTATACCACGATGTATATATTATACCTCCATCAATCCCCTACGCGGGTATATAATAGATTGCACGCGTATATGTATATTATACACATGTCGTCAAAGACCGCGGTATTATCGCGTCTATGCAGTAAATACCTTACACAAGTGTGACGCTATCCAATTTCGGCACTTTTACCTAATTGGCTCTTGCAACTTGGGACTGTGGTGTATAATACACGCATATTCAATTGATTTTACTTTTTTTTTTTTTTTTTTTTTTTTTTATTTTTTTTTTATATCCCCCGTACGTCGTGTCGGCGGCATATCATAAACTCGGTGTGTAGGTATATAAGGCGGGAGAGGCGATCAATGAGTCAAATTGCCCCGAAGAGTTTATGAATGGGAATAAAGTAGCTCGCGTGTACACATGCACACACAAAAGAGAGACACCTCGCTCNTTTTTTTTTTTTTTTTTTTTTTTTTTTTATAGACCCCGTTCGTCGTGTCGTCGGCATATCATACACTCGGGGTGTACGTATAAACGGCGAGAGAGGCGATCAATGAGTCAAATTGCCCCGAAGAGTTTATGAATGGGAATAAAGTAGCTCGCGTGTACACATGCACACACAAAAGAGAGACACCTCGCTCGTTTGCTCGCGAAAGCATATACATACCTATGTATGTGTGTATATATATGTACGAGAGGTGGTGCGCGCGTTAGTGGGTTTATGGAAGCAAGCCGGTTTTAGCCAGGCTAATAGCATAGTAATGCTGGCTGATCTTTTCGGAATCCCGTAAGAGCATTAGCCGTTCGCACGTGAGCAAGTTAAATTGCTATGTTGCGGCGACGACGGCCAGCCAAAGTGAGAGAGAGGGAGAGAGAGAGAGAGGCATCGGTGCAAGCGTCGGGGCGCCGGCGTCGCCCATCGCATCCTCGTCGGGGTTGTCACGAGAGCGCCTCGTCGTCGACGTTTACCTCCTGTATATAATGTACATAACCATCACGAGCAGTGGAAACTCCATTTCTTTTTTTTTTCTTTCTCTCTTCAAAGATGTCCCGCGAGTGCTTATACATATATATATATTTGACCCTCTCGGGGGGGCTTCCATCGAGCCGCTGCGCCCCCGACTAGGGGGTAGGTATAATACGGGAGCATCGGAGGCTGAAAAACGAGGGAAGAGAGGGAGCAGCGCCAATAAATTCGCCGACGGCCCTTTGTTTCCTCCGCTACGTGTATATAATGCAACCGAGGGGTGGTTCGGGCTGCCATACCAGGGGGTGACTGTCTATATATACACGGGTCTCGGGGGGTTGGTGCACGTATACATATAAGGTACGATATACGCCGAAGAGGTGATGTATATACATACAAAGGGAGGGGAGCAACACACACACACATATACACAGAGAAAGAGAGAGAGAGAGAGAGAGAGCCATCGCTGGCACGGGATTGGCGCCCCACTCTATATCGGCGGGCTCTCTCCGGGGCCCGCCTGCTTCCCGAAGCTCGCGGATTCGCAGCCGGCTCTCGCATGCGCGGCTCTTTTCTCTCTCCCTCGATCTCCCTCTTTCGTTGTCTTCCTCGGCATAAATGTATATGTATATACATGATGATGGGCCTATATATCGTACATACGCGTATTTTAAGGGTGTGTGGGTTATTGCGCGCGCGTACATTTTTTTAAGTATACGCGTGTGAGTTTGCGTGTGCACCCTCTCTCTACTCTAGCTATCTCCGTCTCGCCCCCCCTGGTGCGGTTATGCCTGCTGCTGGTCGCTGTCGGTGTTCTGGTCTACGGCGAGTCGCGCGCCAAAGAACGAGCCTCGCCGCGACCGAGCGCCTTTAAGTATACCCACCGAGTGGACGCCCCGGCGTTTATTGCCACTAATTGTTGTTATTATTATATATTTACTCGTGCGTGTTGTTGTTGTTGTTGTTGTTGTTGTTGTTGTTCTTTTCACCCCATCCCCTACATTTGTGTTTACGCATAATAACCACATGCATGCATTAACCAATCGGCCGGTGAGTGAGTGACGGTGATCGAGAAGAGGAATATCGAGGAAAAACAGGAAGAAACAAAGTGAGGGTAGGGCCCGAGATTAAACTCGTTGTGCGTCCCAACGGGGGGGTTGAAGTAAAATATACCAATACACCCCCCAATATAATACACCCACATTGTAAACAGTGGCATCACCGTTCATATTGTGATTGTTGGATGTCATCGTTGCCGATAAGTGGTGTGGGTTTTCGTTGATGCTTGGAAAAAATTGCGCGAGCGGCATACCGTATCACGAAGAGGGACACGCCCGTGGGGATAACGCGGAGCACCTATGACAGCGCGACGGGCCGCCAGGAGGACTCTGGGTAAGTCGAACGAGGACCAAACGTTGTTTTTTCCTCCTATACCCAAAGACAGGGGGGACGGGGACATAAGCAAATATAAAAAAAAAATGAGCCGGGGGGGGTGTGGGGAGAGAGAAGCTGCGGGCCGAGGCAAAAGACAACGAGACGATACACACCGAAGCGGGAGAAAAAAAAAATATAGAGAGATAGGAGGAGGAGGGCTCTTACGCTCGATGGAGCAGCGACAAGGCGAGTGTGCGCGCGTATTGGCATCGATGACGACTCGGAGGTTTTCGGCCGGAAAAGCCTCCATGGGAAGGGAAAGAAGAAGAAGAAGAAGAGGAACGTATACCTGACCCCGCGAAGGGTATATACATATACATAGGGGTGGGTGTGTACCCGCGGCCGAGGAAGAGATCGGAGGGGATTTTTATCTGCGGTGTATAGGTACCCAGTGCGCGGGGAAGCGGAAAAAGCGAAGAGAGATCGGAGTACAACAGAAGCTGAAGAAATACATGGAGGAGGAGGAAGAACCGCTCCGGCTCTCGTTTTTCTCCCCCGGGGTCTCGGGGGCCCTCGACAAGACAATGCGCGGCAGGGCGCGCGCGCGCCCGTGCAAACACACTCGGCGGAAACAATGCGGTCGCGCTCCAATTCGCCGGGACTCTCGTACCTACATGTATACATGTTATACCCTGCACTGCCGCCGCCACTTGTTGTTTATCAAATGAAATTCCTCCCTGTGTGCGCGGCGCACCCAGCAACATAATGGGGAGGATTTGAAAGACGAAAGAGTCATCGTCGTCGTCGAGGTGGTGAACCGGCTGTATACGCGCCCAAGACAAAGTACGGCGTGTTTGCAGTGCCCTCCGTCCGCGACTTTGCTCATTCTAGGGCCCTCGATCAGCCGTACATATATACTATACTCGATCCCCTCGCGACCACCAAAAGTGGCTCTCTTTACCGCTCGGCTGGAGCTCCGGTTATTGCTTCTCTCTCCCCACCCACCGATATATACCCCCTGAACATGTGCCCGGCCGATGTTCCGAGCGGGGTAAGACGATACGGCTATAAAATGGTCGAGCGGATGTGCCCGATAATCCGCCAAAGGTGCACACGACTAGCCCCTTCGTTATACTTTCGGAGGCCCATTTTGCCCCCCTTACCCTTACTTCTTACGCGGCTAAAGATTCTGAAATTTCATCGCGCATCGGCTGGAAATCACATGTATAATACATTGCCATTGGGACGTATACCATTTGGACAGTCAGTCCTCTAAAATTAGGCTATACATGGGTACAATAATCGATGAGTCTTGTGTGTCGATTGTTCGCAGGTTGAGCTGCAGGGGGGCAGTATAGGCGCGCGGCCCATGTGGCCGAACAGCCTGGGCTGCGGCGGGGGCGGCGGGGGCGCTGGCGCGGCAACCGAGTTGGGGGGCCTGGCAGCGGCCGCCGCGGCAGCCTCGAGCAGCTCGGCGAGCGACATATTCGGACCCGCGGGCTTCGGACCGGCCGGCGCCGGGCATTACGGGCCGCTCAAGTCGAGCCCGTACGCCGTCAGTGCCCTCGGTATGCCGCCCATCGAGGCCCTACACTCGAGCATCGGTTACCCCGGCTGCGCACCCGCCGGTGACTCCTACTACTGTGAGTAAAAACAATACATATACTGTATCTACTTTTTCACATATAGAAATCTATATATTTATATGGTATGCATGCGATGAATGTATTGATTTGTAAGATGCATGTAGCGCGTGGATGAATGGGCCATGTACTGGATATATTAAAATTTTGCGTCACGCCTTACCGAGCAATCAACGAGCAAGTGCGTTGCACCCGTACATAGGCTCGCTATCCTATATATACAAGCCGAAATGAATGTTGGAGCGCGACAAAGACGATCCTCGCGCGAAAGTGCGCCCTGCAAGTACACTTCCCTCAGCTTCGCTTGATTCGCGTTATATTGCTTTTGCGATATTTAGGTGTAGTGAGCCGGAAGAGCCCTGCTGCCATGTACCCATATACGGTCCGCTCCGGTTGGGCTGCGCACTTTTTTTTCCCCCTCCCCCATTTCTTCTCATACGGCTCTTTGGATTAGGTTTGTTCGTCGACGAGAGATCGCGTTTATTTGTGTGTATTTTTGCGCGCACCCCCTTTTTCTGCGCTCGTGGCGAGCCAAGGGGCCCCGGGGGGATTTTAATTCGTATCGGTTGTGTCGAGAGTACTCTGCTGCGCGGCCCGTTGTGCGGAGGAGGAACAATGGACGCACCGCGTGACGAGTTTTTAGCGAATATTGCGTCTCGAAAAGAAATTGTACATTTCTTTCTTTACTTTTTTTTTTTTTTTTTTTTTTTTTTAGGCATTTTAGGATGTAGCGTTGAAATAGCTAATATAAACGCCTAAAGTCGATGAGTTGCGTATGAAAAATAGTTAATTAAAATTCATGCTCCTCGGGACACGGCAAACAATAAAAATTGTATTTCATCTGAAAGTATATGCTAAAAAACATAGAGATAATATTATAATGACCACAAGTATGAGAGGTAAAGCGCGGAATAGCAATATATTCTTTTTCGTAAATCACATTGGAAAACGATGGAATGAACGAGCGTAAGAAAAGATAAACATTGAATTTGTACGGGCGATTGTCTTTGTTTTGATTCGCGCCCAAGTCCGTGGCTTTATTCAAAGTAAATGTGATGAAGTAACACCTGCAGCAAAGAACAGCACTGTATTTAAAAAGAAAAAGTTGAATAATAATCATCAAATGTTCGTTCCAAACTAAAAATACACGTGTTACTGTATTTGAAAATCCTTTAGTTTAAATGAAAGGAAGCTTTATAAATAAACAAAACAAAAAAAAAATGCACGCACATATTTATCTCTAATTGTCATTGCATGTACATAGGTATATACACAATTGTTTCTTCAAACAAAGCACATACTTGACTTTTCTGGTAATTTTCAAAAAGTGCCCTCCGCCATATATCATGTGGGTTCAACAGCAAAATCCCAAGCACAAACAATCGCAGCCATTAGCGTTCAACGCGTTTGTGCGCATTTGAAATCTCGTAAAACAGTATACCATACACTTATACCCATCATAATCTCCGGAGCCTCGGAGAGAGAAAGAAAACTCGTCGCTTATCTGCCTGTATACACCTTAATATATACTATTATACGTATTACCGTCCATCCGTCGCGCGTCAAACACACCCCGACCGGGTCGACCGAAAAAATTCGTAAACGCTTCGGGGCCCCCCCGATGACGTCGTCTTTGGGACGTTTCGTCAAAAACACCCGAAAAATATTTTAAACGCACCCCATCGCCGGTATACAAGTACAACTGTTGCTGTGCATCACAGCTATATTATATATATATGTAGCTCGGTCTTTCGCAAAAGTTTTCGCGGAAGGGCCGAGAAGAAAAGGGCGACGAGAGGCTCACGGGACGTTTTGAAGATTCGTCGGGCGACAACAGTCGGTGTATTTGTACGTACGTATATACATATACATAATATATGCAGATAAAAGAGCGAAGCGCCGGGTTATTTTCCTAGGAATGTGAAAAAAATAAGGTAAGAGGGGGGGGGGGAAAGGAAGAGGTACAGTTAGACAAACAGTATAGGAGGAGGGAATGGAAGAAGTTTGAGGATGAAAACGGAGCTGCGGATTGTTCGGGCGGAGGGATTGTTTTGGCTAATCCGGCTAACGAGGCTCACCTATATACATATATATGTACGCTTTGGTGGCGCTCGTCCGATGGCCGGAAGAATAAAAGACACGCACCACCGGCAGATTGAAAAACTCATCGACTCACGGTAGTTTACATGATACCCCTGTGACCCACGTGCGGATTGATATCGCGTGGTATATTTTACATCGCATGCATAAGCACATGTAATTAGAATGAAAAATAAAAAGATGTACATATATATATACATACTGGTTTTTTTTATCGTATACTTTTAACAATTGCGCTTAGGTAATCCACGCAAGCAGCGCAGGGAAAGGACGACCTTCACCCGGGCCCAGCTCGACATACTCGAGAGCCTGTTCGGGAAGACGAGGTACCCGGACATCTTCATGCGCGAGGAGGTGGCCTTGAAGATCAATTTGCCCGAGTCGCGCGTACAGGTGAGACATACACACAAATTCGGAGCATATATACACCAGGGATGGTACGTACATGTGTATATTTACGTATACACAGAGAGGAGGAAGAGCGAGGGCGCGAGGGAGGCATGAAGCCCTATATGCGCGCTGTACCGTAAATATATATACATATATTTATACATGATACATACGAGCGTCCAAAGGTTGGCGTATATCTTAGCGGGGCTTTTCATTTATTTCTACTGTATTATACCCACCCGGCTCCCACCATTATCGACGAATTAGACGGCTTCAATTTGTCAGCACGCGCGCGCTCTTCTTCTCGCGCGGACAAAGTCACACACATACCTATATATACCTATACTCTTGGGAATTCCATCGCTCGAAGGATGAGACGTGTATCTCGGGTACTTATTTCGATTCAATGTTTCTCGAGGGATGACATATCTCGCATACCTTATGTGCGCCCTTGTTAGGGAAAAATGTTGATTGGTGTGGTTATAGTATATACTTTGTGTATATGTTATGTGCCAAACGAAGGCCGGATGTCTCGGGGTCTATGCACACGGGGGTGTGTAATGTTGCGCGCACACGCCCCTGCTCGCTCCACGTAATTACCCTTGGCGCGCGAGAAAAGGTCCTTTCAAGAGCGGCAGGGGCCGCCAGAGGCCCGTGTCAACAGTGACACTTCTGGCTTTTACCTGGTTCCTTTTCTTTTCCTTTTGTCCCCCGCCCCCTTTCCATTCCTTTACTCTCCCGTACACGGCACTTCTAACGAGTAGGGGTATGGCTTATAACCTACCCCCTGCACCTACGCGCTCGTATTTCCGTTTTCTCTCCCCGTGCCAATATGTTACGCCGGCGCTTGCCGATACCTCCCTTTTGCTCTTTTCCTTTTTCACTCATACATATAGCGAACCTATAGATTATTGTTATCGAGGGTACACGAATAGAGCTCCCTGTCGGCTCGTGTCGGACGATTCGACGACGGCCAAAGGCTTACGTACGAACACTCTCCCTCCACGACACGCGACTCTTCCATCGTTTAATGGGTGTCTCTCTATGTATTATATATGCAGAAGCTCGCTGGTAATCGGTGATGCTTGTACCCACCATTATAACGCCAATGGTCCAATATATCAACGAGTTTTACTTCGGTCAATTGTGTCGTTAAGCGTTGCCATTGTGCGCCTATGGGTGTAGATTATCGACCACGACTAACTCGGCTAAGACGATTTTTATGTGCTTCCCCGAGTCGGCCCTCGTAGGCTCGAAAATTTACACGACGCGACGATAATATATATAAATATTATACCTGTGACGTATACGAGTGTGTGTATACCTATACTCTTGACTTATACCGCACCTCGAAAGTTTTACTAACATTTTGCGCGCCATTGGAAACGAATGGAAAAAAAAAAAACAAAAAAATCGAGCATTGATCGAATGGTACGGAAAGTCGCTCACCCCGCACGATGTTCCTCTCTGCTTTTCGCGCCTATAGCCGTTTGTACACCATATGAGTACGGAAATGCAAGGCTCGGTCATCTAACCGAGGCAGAGGGAGAGGGGGTTAAAATTTATTCTGTCGCCCGGTTGGCACGATACAGGACATAAGAGCGACTTTTCTGTCACGCACATGGTTGGGGGGGGGGGGAGGAGAGGTTGAAATTCAGGAAGGGAATCGATGCCTATCGGAGCAAGTGAGTCGTTGTGTATTTTGACACTCCTCCCCCTTTTTTTTTTTTTTTCTTTTTTTTTCCTCCACCCCGGCGCATCAGCACGTCTCCGAGGCGCATAATAGGAGTCAGCGCCCAAATCCCCGCAGCATCGGTTCCTCCCGTCTCGGACTGTGGAATTTAGAGTGTGTGTCCCCCCATTCTCTTCCAGCGCCTCTCTTTCCGGATCCCGGCAGATCTCTCTCCTCCTCGATGCACGCCGGGCACAGTGTGTGTGTATATACACGAGGTACCTATAGGTACGTCTCCCCCTCCCTGAAAATGATGGACTCCCTTTCGAAACGGACGTCAAGAGGACGTCGCCTTACGGGGGACGCGCGGATTATACAGGGAAAGACGGACCGTCGGGACGCAAACAAGCTGTATATTTCTCGTGGCTGACAGATGCGAATTCGATTGGCCCACGGAGATAAGTAGGCATACCTATACGTGTATCGGGCGAGCGCTCCATGATGACGAATCATCACCGGTCGCATCCCCCGGCGGGTAATTACCGCTTGTCGATCTTACGTATACGTGTGGACCGGATGTTGGGTCGATCGGTCCGATTTTCATGCGTGTGCTTCAAAGATGCCGAGACGCGTAACTTTTTTTTGTTTTTTTTTTGTTTCTTTTGTTTTCGCCTGAAAAAACCCACGAGTTTCCCTCCCCCCCATGTGTATATATGGCCATTAGTTTTCCAACGTGACCGTGTACGTGCAGGGGGACGGGAGCGATCGGTACGAAAAAAAAAAAAAAAAAATCGGCGGCGTAGGAGACACGCGCGCGTCAAAAAGTCAAACTCGTGCCCCGGCATAATCAACAACTCCCGAACACCTGGGGTCCCTTTGTCGTGTATACGCGTGTACCGCCTCGGCATAGTCTCGCGCACGTTTTCTTTACAACATGCACGTACATATATATATGATCTCATTTACTCGTTTCGCCCTCGATTTCTCGCCTATGGCGGGAGGGAACAAGAAATGCACTCTTTTACCGTGTGGGATGTTGTATAGTCGTGCAATACGTGTGCAACGGAGAGAGGGTGGAAAAAAAAAAAAAAAAGTCAGGGCCAGAGCTATACGTGGACGAGGGAATGTTGCGCCGAGAAAAATCAGTGGCGAGTGAAACACGAGAAATTCGGAGTGAAAGAACGCCAGGCACGACGTAGAGTGCGGGGGTGTCGTGTGTATCTTTGCCTATCTGTTGAAAAATGCACGTACAGGTATATAACGGGTAAAAAAAAAAAGCGACGTCGAGTAGACGGCGACGGCGACGGAGTTCCCCAGAAAATCCTTAGAGGAGAGAAACCCAAGCTTGCATATCGGGCTGCCAGCCGCCTAACATTGATCGCGCGGGGCTTCTCTCGCTCTCCTACGCGCCCGCCACCTCCTCCTCTTCTTTGCCCTCGCTAAATTGAAGAATCGATGATGCCAGTGCGCTCCGTTACTCGTACGCTTCCTCTGTACACATATACACTAGCATTTCTATTTTTTTTATTTTTTTCATTTTCGCTCCAATGGTCGAGAATATGTGTATACACATCATCGGTATTTTCGCAGGTTTGGTTTAAAAATCGCCGGGCAAAGTGCAGGCAGCAGCAAAAGCAGCAGCAACAGCAGCAGCAGCAGCAGGACAAGTCGCCGAGGGTTAAGAACAAGGTGTGCACGAGCAGCCCGGCGCAGAGCGGGAACCCACCGCCCGGCAAGAGTCCCTCGATAGCAACGGCGCCGACGGCAGGCCTGGCTACCGCGCCCGCCACCACCCCACTGTAAGGCCGTGTCTTTACATATACATGTGTATACAGATCTTTTTTTTTTTTTTTTTTTCTCTTTCTTTTACTCCTCGGGTTGCATCGCATACTTGCAGTGCATCCACAGAGCAGTAACTTATAGGGCACGAGACGCTATTGTTTTTCGCTCTGCTCCAGGGGTGAGATTTTTTAAAGAGGGATGGTTTGTTGCTTCGAGTACTCATGTTATCTGCTCCACGTCGGTGGGACTTGGAAGAACATTTTTTTTTTTTTTCTCTTATTGCTTGTTGTGTACCTTATTTAGCGCGAATTTGCGATTGGTTATGTACTATTATCCGTTGTCCGATGGTTAATATCAAATATATTTTTATATGACAGTCTATGCAATTGTAATATAAAATCGTACTATCACGAGTGTTTATATATCAAACGTTTCATGCATGTTGATATATTGAAATTAATTTAAAAAAATAACAACTCACCAAATCAGCGATGAAAAAAGTACGCGAAAGCTTCCAATTGATTGGAAATGGTATTATTTATTTTCATCCAATACTGTAAAACGCTAGAGCTTGTGTGCGCCACGAATGATTTTTATAAATTGTTATTTTTTTATCAATACAACGCGTACGAATAACGAACGAAAAAAATGCGTGAGGGTGTAAAATCTCACAGATTATTGCTATGCTCCCAAGCTTTTTTTTTATAAATATACACACAGAACTACGAGACACTCGTTTGAAAAGTATTTTTATTAAATGACGCAACAAATTGAATTGAACCGCAGATTTGTGTGGTACTTTTTTTTTGTTCAAATAAAAAATATAAACAAAAGTAACCAATGAAAACTGAAAAAAAAAAAAAAAAAAAAAAAAAAAAAAAACAAGTTACCTTGAATGAGCGTAACTTACAAAACACATAGTACAAAAATTCCTCGGCCGGTTGATCGCTCCCGCCGCTTAAAAGTCGCGTCGGAGAACAAAAAGATTATCCCGCGAGCGATTACGTCGAGCTAACGAGCTTATCAATATTACATTGAACCGAAATTTCCGAGGGTTTATTATTCCTTCGGGTATAACGATCTCTCGAGCTAAAGGCGCAAATCCCCCGTCATCAGCCGTGAAAATTTAAAGTCACTTGACCGAGCGATACATGCTATATACGTACCAACTTGGCAAGGTATGCACTCGCACGCGTCGATTTTAAAGTAAAACGACGCGCGGCCTGCGTTTTCGATGGCGATGCACATTTGCTCTCTCAACGATCCGTGAAAACGGCCCCCACGGGATTACCTTCTTTTCAAACATTCATGCCCCGTCGGAGCGGCTAATCGTTACACCCCTTTTTTACACTTGCACTTGTGCAAAAAAAACAACTATCCTACACGTATCACGGTTTTGTCATTAAATATCACTCGAAGTTTCCTCGAAACATAATCTACTCGTCATCATCGAAAGAAAATAAATCAGTGACCCAATGAGGCGTCAAAAATGTCATACGCGTATACATATACCACTGAATGACAATATCGGCAAGTTGTTAGACTCGTCGTTGCGTCTTATACTACCTATACTGTACCTCTGATGACAATAATATTATGTACACTCTCTGTATATACACCCTAGAAATCAGGAAAAGAAAACGCGGTGACACCCAAAAATACACAATGCGGGACATCGGAGTGAGTGACAAACGAGCGAGTATACATTGAGTAAAGCGTGTTTAACGCGACCCGAGCGAATATTTGGAGAAAAAATACTCTTCCCCCCCCCCCAGCCCCCTTACCTGCTCCCCGAACAGCTTACTCCCCACAAAAGTGTCGACAATCACGGGGAGACGGGGCTTCGAAGCTCTGTAATAATAATGGCATTGTGCAAAACCAGCCGAGCCTGCATTTCCACCCTGGGGCACGTTGATTTTATCGTTGTTAAGGTTGTGTTTTATCGTTGGTTTGTTGCAGAAGCGCAGGCACGGCCGGCTCGGCGGCGAACTCGCCGGCGGCCCTCCTGCGGGACTCGCCCCATCAGTACAAGCCGGGGGGCGGTGGCGCCGCGACTACCAGCAGCCTCCTCTTGGCGGCGAGCACGACGCCACCCAGCGTAAGTAATCCAATGTTGCCTAATTGTGTATATGCATATATGTATAATATTTGCTCCCCCGCCGCCAATGGGTATATTGTCTCTGACGCGTGCGTGGGGTGTGTGTAGGCGCGAGAGCCCGACGCGCTACTCAAAATATTTTCGTAATCGACACTCTCTCTCTCTCTCTCGGGCGAGAGGGTGATGCGGGGGACGCGTTTGCCCGGCGTATAAGTGTACAAGGTGCCTCTAGTGTATTGCTTTCTCATGGCTTGCTTGTTATTCATCGATTTTCGATGCCGGGACAGCACCGATTCACGTGTGTGTCTTCTCATCCTCCTTCCCTCGTTTCTATAGCTACTATCTACATGTAAAGTACCTACAAACATGTGCGCGTGTGCATTTATATAGGTACTCGCCTTACAAATGCCAGGACTTGATATTATTGATGTTTTCGTTTCTCTCGGTTGTGCATCTTTTTTCTCTCGAGTGTGGATGTACCGTGTGCGATATATATGTGCTTTCGACGGGGATCAATCGAGTACGAGTTGGGAATTTGTTTGGAAAAATAACGCGGCAAGTGAAAAATTATTTATTTATTTTTTTCTTTTTATTTGCACCCCAAAGTAATACATTCTGTACAGAGATCTTGTGTTGATTGTCTCATTTCTCCGCTGCGGGAGATCACATTAAAATTATCGAGTTGTGTGATAATCCTCATAGCGTATATTATAATATGGGGAGGGCATCGAAATCCAAGACGAAATGAACAGAAATGATAATGCGCGCGATGCCTTTCTCGGAAGCACGCGAAGAATTTTTGCTAAATTCACACGCACGCGCGGCTACTGTGTCCTCATTATACAACCCACTATATAGTACATGGGCGTTTGGGATCAGCTGAGTTGTGTATCAATAAAGAAATAACGTGGTCTTTTTTTTTTTTTTTTTTTTTTTTTTTTTTTTTTTTTTTTTCAAAGATCGAGAGAGAAAGAGAAGTAGAAAATTTTTATTTAGGGTGGCATAAAATCGTGGGCACGGCAGGGCTAAAAAAAATTGAACGCTAGGAGTTGTACAAAAAGCCGGGCGATCGGCAAGGAGGAGGGGATAACCGGTTTTTCCTTCTCTCATTTGCTTTGGTATACCTATATAGACGTATATGCATGCGCGAGCTCGCAAAAGCAGAGCCGATATGATAATGTATTATCACGCGTTTTCGACGCCGAAAGAAAATCTTTTGTCCGCACCATCCTATATAGCGATTTCTTAAAGGTTCGCGTGATCTCTTGTGAAAAAATGTGTTTGCCTCGATTCGATCCGTCACAATTTTCACCAAACGCGGGAATCAATACTACGCATCTTTGCTCTGCGATAAAAAAAAAAAAAAAAAAAAAAAAAAAAAAAAAAAAAAACCCACCGATTCGATCCCGCACCAGAGGGAGAAGAGAAAAGAAAAAAAATGTACCTATATCACGCCCAAAATCTTAATACGTTAACCAAACAACGCCCCGAACGTATAGGTGACTAATGTGACTCGCTCCCCGCGTTCCATTGAACCAAGTGCAAATACCTGTACGTTTTCTTCCGTCTCCCCCCCCCCCGAAAAATCTTTGGGCAGCTCCTCCTCTTCCTCCCGAGTACAATTTCTCGCTTCCTTGTACACACACCGTCATATACATGCACACTCGCGCGCGCGTGCACCGAGCAAAGGGGGACGTCGACGACGACGACAGGCAAAGGGCATCCGCAGTTACGTATACAAAGGGCGAGCAAAGTACACACGGACACGCATGCATCGACGAAAAGGGGCTTCCCCTTCCATTATACGCGTGATGTATGGCGAGACGACACCACCGACGTGTGCGTACTTATACAAGTAATGTATTCTCATCAGCGCGTGCATTGGAAATGTTATAGGTACATGTGCATAAAGGTGCGCGTGTGTGTGAGTCGCGCAAAGTAAACAAGCGGGCGATCGTGATCCGAATTAGACGCGCGGTTATGGCACATTTCTTTTCAATGTACATTTTTCCCCCTTCCGTTATACTTTTATATTATCTACATGTACATATGTGTGTGTGTGTGTGTACTTACCTGTGTGTTGGGTTTCTGGGCACGTCAAGCAGCTGGGAGGCACGGTGTACAGCAGCGGCGGCAGCAGCAGCAGCATCTGGAGTCCAGCGGTGACGGAGAGCGGTGCAGCGGGGGCCAACGGCGGGGGCCCGATCTCCGCGGGCTTCAACGCCGAGCACCAGCGACTTGCCGCCTGGGCGACCACCAGCAGCCAACAGCAGTGCTACCAGAACTACACGTCCTACTACAGCAACATGGACTACCTGTCGCCCTCGGGCCACCAGCTCAACGTCGTGGTTGGTTTTCTTTTCGCTGCAAGCACGATACTTTTTTTTTTTTTTTCGAATTTTCCTCGGAAATGCCTACCGAATAGTGGTATCAGTAGGGCTAAACGTTGGATCTCTGAAGAAGCTCAATTCCCACTCAAAAAAACAGTCTCGTAAATATTTATCTTTCGTTTCCTTCGTAATCGTGATATCGTTGTATACATACTTATATGTAATCATTCATCCTTGGACCACAAATTAATATACGTTCCTTTTGTCGTGGCGCTGGATGCGTATAATATATATATATTGTAATATGGTATAGTTGCGCGTGTTTATATAATTCTTCTTTTTTAAGCTGGATAAGCCCCCGACTGTACACGTATTATTTCGCCTGTGAACAACTCACTGCCGAGGGTTCAAGTGCCCGTGTATATTCACATATATATATATACCTATACACCTAATCCCGAGCGGATTTCAGATCCTTATCGCTCAATTTTTAACATTTTTTTAACTTTTCCCATTTTTTTCCCTCACCCCAGAGTATACATATAATATAATGGGTGCTCTTGGGCAAATAAATTGCAACGGATGGACGTGTAAATATGCTCGCTTTGGTGGTTTCAGGAGAGCGTGGGCGCCAACGGTTTGGACAACGCCTGGCCGAGGACGAGGGACGAGAGCGCCTCGTGGTTCTACAACAGCGCGGGCTGGGGCGAGCGCAAGTGATAAGCTGCCGCGCCCAACAATTACAATCATCCTCTTTCGCGTCGGTTTTTAATTTTATTTTATTTTTTTTGTTTATCACCACGACACTACCACTACGGCTGCACAGTTGTACGTGCAACGAAGAAGCGTCGTCGTCGACTCCTCGCGATATTGTAAGCGAGCGCGGCGGCCGATCTGTATCTGCGACTAGTCATTATAATTTTTTTTTTTTTTTATCCATCAGCCCACTGCGAGTGACGAAAATACCTACGAAGAAAAAAAAAGGAAGAAGATTAGTTGGGAGGAGAGAAGGAGAAGAAGAAGCAGCTTTGGGCCACGTTATTATGCCGACGAGTTTCGGGGAGAGGACGCGTCGAATTGGGAAGAAATGAAAAAAAAAAAAAAAAAAAGGAGCGATACTCTGCTCCTCGCCGCAGCACAGAAGCCGTCGGTTTATATATAATATACGTATGTGTGTACCCAACGCGTATAGCATATTATAATATGATCGAGAAGAGAGAAAATGGCCATGTAAATAGTTGGGCGATGCGTCATACTGTAACGATACAGGATCTGTATAAGCGAATTTCGTGTACATAAAATCTACGGATAAACTGCAAATACGATCATTCAAGTGAAAAACAAAAAAATTGTAAGTCAAATTTTAATAAATAAATATACATATATATAGATAGATGATACGTGTAGGTATATAGTCGACGCAACGTCGGTGGACATTTATTGAAACACAGACACGACACATCGAAGGGCAAACTTGTAAATATGTAGTGCTACGTTATTAAAATAATTATTATGTAATAGTAAAAGTAACAAAAAAAAATAAAATTAAAAAAAAACCCCTCACAATAATCGTAATAATAACGATACCCAGGGCGAGATTCGTTAAATTTGGGTACATCGAAAAACACCCGCCCTTCCCCGCCCCTTGCGAACGTCGCTAAAGATATAAAAAAAATGGAAAAGCTATAAACCTCTCGATCGACATATCAATGATTATCAACTGGCAATCAGAGACTGGCGCACTTCTCCTGTACTCGCGGCCAAAGTGTGATGGATCTCCACATGTATATGTTATACAATCGCGAGCGCGGGTCTCCAAGTAGGTGTACATGTTGACGTATTTATATACGCGTACCTATTGTACTATGCGTTGTATATTGGGTATGATGAAGCCTGCAATGATGGTGATTTTCAGGGGAAAACTCGACGGTCGGGGGGGGGAGTGCGTCTGCGTGAATTTTAAGGTGTTTTTCCTCCCGCTGAAATGAGTTTGCCGAAAGTGCGCGCGAGGGAACTACGCGTTTTTGTTTCTTCATAACTATTTGTATGTTTGTGTGCGTCGAGTATACAGAATTTGAGCGATTGCGAGCTTTAGTTTAGATATATACTTATATATATATATATACAAAAATTGCGGTATAGGTGATGATGTTTGAAAAAGACTGTGTGCATATGAATCGAAGAGGAGAAAACGGATTATACATAAAGCGTATAAATATGCATATACATATACACACACACGCAATTATACAGGCGATGGTCATTCAGTACCGAGATCTTTTAGAGTTGTAAGTAAAACGTGACTGTTTAGATTGTGATTTTGCGAGATAAGGACAAAAAAAAAAAAAAAAAATTCTACGTAAAAGAAACAAACGAAACAAAAAATATCAGTAATATTAATCATCAAGCGATACTGGATCCGGCGAGAAGCTGAATTGAATTACGTGTCATAATAAATATAAGAATTATTGATTCAAATGAGCGGACTATGATTTATTTATTATGTGTGTTTGATATCGTACCCCGACAATATTCCTATACATACCTACACGTTTAGGATTTTTCTTCGTACCGGCACAACAATGGCTGAAAAAAATTTTTTTGAAAAACATTCGTGAAAGGAAAAAAGTTCACCAATTAATCAATCGTGTTTTTGTTTATTTATTTATTTATTTTTTTTTTTTCGTTCTCAGGGATTATAAGAAATAAATGTTTGGCTTTTAGCTCATAAATACAACTATTTCGTTACAATTAATCTGCACGGTTTGAACGTCAACGGATAAATCAGTGTGTGGAAAAAAAATAAAATAAAGATTTGTTATCAATTTGTTTTTCTTTGAACATTAATTGATATTTCGACGTACTTCTAAACGGATAATTTGAAATAATCATTATCACCTTAAAAAAAACAGTTGTCCTCACTCGATACGCGTGATTAAGTAAGCAAAAAACATTAGTTGTTCAACCGAATAATTCCATCGCGAGACACAAAAAAATAATCAGAACCGAATTCGCCGAGACTAAAAGAAGCGCCGAATTATCAAAGAGGGTCAGGTATCACAAAATGGCGCCGCTTTCGGAACTTGCATGCGTGTGTATTGTACATACACACGTATATATGCCCGAGCTCCATTTGATCCAATAGCAAACTATAGAGATAGAACCATTTTAATATACCTCACCATGACACAATGGGATGCAGATAAATTTGAAAAATTTAAATTTAAAATAAGTTTGCCAAAAAGGAATGTTACTGCTACTGCAGCCACGGCTGTTTCTCCTAAACCCTAAATACAACGAGCCATACCGGGAAGCGATAAAACATGCACTCGTCAATGATCATTCAAAGCCAATAAATATAAAACTGGGACAATCGATAACTGACGTAAAAAACCATCTTTGAAAAATAAGCGATAACAGTACAGTAAAACGATAATAATACTCATTCCCATTGCTCGTAGATATACATGTGGGTGATAAAAGTGTGGTATTTTATAATAATACAGATCTGGGCTACCGTGTGCGCTTACGTATGGATTGCTAACAAAGCGTTAAAAAAAAAAATCAGGAGCAAGCGAGCGGGAGCTAAACGCAGCGGAGCGGCGAGGCAGGGCAATAATGCGCCCAGGACTCTGATCCTGAAATATCGCAGGTAAAATTTCATATTTCATAGCTGCTTAAAAAAAATAATCCCCGTCTCCCCCCCTGGGCGGGCGATAATGTTATGCCGCTACCGTGTTCCACGCACTCCGGGGCCACGCAGAGAGAACGAGAGATAGCCCTCTCTCACCGAGGTGTGACGTGATTAAGATTTGGAGGATGCTAAAAATATTCCGAGATTTTTTTTCCCCCTCCGCAGCGCCTTCTTCTACTCACCGTCTCCTTTCAGCCTCCATATAGTGTGTGCGTCGTCGTCGTCCGTCAGGCTCTCGGCTCGTTTTATATCGCGTGTGTTTTTTCGCCTCTTTTCGCCGAGTCTCTTTCCATATAAACGGGTATATATATCAATTCTCGCGGACACGAGCTTTCAGGTCAACTCCTCCTCCTTCCAATCTCCTCTCGCGCGGTTGGTATCCTCCGCCAACAACCTCCTCGGCGATCGGGATTTCCAACGACTCTGGCAGATCTAGCGGTCGTGTCTAAAATTTACCCCCTCTTGCGAAGCCGGCTGTCGGTAACGCGACGCACCCCCTTGACGCTCGCCGGTAAATCGAGTGAATCCCAAACTGCTTTACCAGCAGAGCTTTGCCGGGAATGCCAACAAAAGATATGCGTGTTATCGAAGCGCGCGCGTCGGCTTTTTTCAAATATGTCGCGGCTTGCGCGCGTGTACCTATATTCAAAGTATTCAAACGTGTTTTTCTCGGGGGTCCCGAGGGAGAAATATACGCGCCGGCGCTGTTTCCGGTAGGAAGAGAGAGTGGAGTAAAGTACGGAGCGAAGCTAAACGGCGGCACGGAGAGAGAGAGAGAGAAGCCGCGAGGGAGAGCAGAGACCCGCGGTGGCTTCTTCTCCCCCGAGTGTTGTGTGTACAGTGTGTGTACACGCATAGCCGAGCGAGCAGCCGTTGTTGCTGATGCTCCAAAATCTCCTGTGCACATTGTACACGCATCTTTCGGAGTCTGCGTCCGATATTACAGCGGAGCACCGGTCTGTTGTTTTTTTCTAATCGACACATCTTGCATTGTGCGTGGGTTTCTTTTTTGTTTTCCCCTCCACGCAAGTTGTCAAGCCTCTGCTCTTTCAAAAATTTTGGCGTTTAACTTTTTGTAGCCCAAGGGGGGGGGGGGCAAGTGTTTTATCTTGCTTTTTTATGTTTTTACCGAATAAATCAACAAACTGCTGTGGTACATAGTTTCCGGTGTATATGCAACGATAGATCGAAATAAAGAGACGCCGGCAGAGAGAAAGACATATAGACCCATGCATCAGAAGAAGGCATTACGAGCCAACACGCACAGCGGTAGTGGATAAAAAAAAAAATATATATATATATATATACTTGTACTCGTGTGAAAAAAAAAAAGTTGAGAAAAAGTAAAGTGCCGGCTGATCGGATGAGAATCAGGATGGCGAGCCGTCGGGACGATCACTCTTTCGGCGGGCGCCTCGTCCTACCTGCACTCGGATTCTTCTTACTCCTCAGCTGTGAGTACATAAATACACACCCTCGTTGTTTGTTATTTCATTTAAATCACGCGTACATAAATCATATAGATGGACAAAAGAGAGAGGATAAGTAATGTAAAAAAATATCCTGCTAATTATTCCAGCTAATTTAAAAAAAGTACCCACAACATAATATGTATATGTATATGTACAATAGAATAGGCGCTCTCGGTATATATGTGCTCTCCTCCTTCTCGCAGGATGACGCGCTCTTTCGTTCTCTGATGCCTGTCTATCCGTCTTTCGGTCCCTATACCTACAGCTCATCCGCACTCTCTGCTTCTCTGCATATGCAGCCGTAAAACATGTTACAGCACAACTATACTATTATCGCATGTACACGCATACCATGCATGCACATCTATGGGGAGCTGTGGTTATGATATTCGTGCGTGTAATACCTACGTATAGTGTGTATATTCCAGCTGCATTTTGTATAGCATTAGGTATTATACATATACCCTACTCGGCAAGAAGGAGAACCTATAGTAGGTAAGTAGAGATATAAAGTTACCTCGCGCACACAGCTCTCGCGCGCTCGATCCCCAATATCCCCATCCCCCGTGTATAGGTATGTATGCGTTGCCGTACATGTATGTATACGCGTATGTATAGTGGTTGGTTGGTACATGTGTATTTACGTGCAAGCAAAACCTCCGGAAGCGTGTAGACGAGAATGAAAGGGTAAAGAAACCGGGCAAATAACTTCCTACTCGACCTTATACGTTTCACTGCACGCACCTACGTGGTATACGTCGCGTCTTTTCACACAGTAGGTACTTCTGCACACCTGCACACGTTAGAATATTTCTTAAGGTCTAAGGAATTGCCTTTTTTTTTTTCCCGAGAAAGCCGAGTAAAATTTTTACAATTACACACGATACGCACACAGTGATCTCTGGGAACAGAGTTATTAGACACAGAGATGTTTTCGAATATAAATCCGCACCAGCTCTTTCTACTACCCTCAATAACTGTAGAGGGATGGCTACTTTTGGCAGAACTGAAAATTGAGATATCTCGATCCTGCAGCTCCCGTAGAAGTTGAAGGTACTATGAGGATGAGATGTTATATGTACATTATACACAGGGTGAAAGAGAAAAAGGCCGGTTTCCCGCAGACTTTGCAGCACCAGCCGAGAGTTTGAGGTACGCGTAAGTATAGGAGTAATACCGACTTCCAGCCTGGCGAGGGAATGAGAAGCGATGAGAAGAAAAAAAAACGGAGGAAAGAAAAAAGGGTTGGCGCGGAGGCGGCAATGGGGAGGATTACCTTCACTCTCTCTCTTTTTCGCGTGAAAGGAGCACGGTTATATGAAAGTGCAGACCGAAGAAAATACGGAGGAGGTGAGGATGCCGATATGGGGATAGCAGCGGATTTTTTTATTTTTTTTTTTTTTTTTTTTTGTCTCACGAGGATTCAACGAGAAAGAGATAGCGGGAAGATATCGAGTTGCTTGCCATGGTTTTTTGCGCAAAAATGAAATACCTCATCATATGGATCCATTTATCTACACTCGCTCATTTTTCAATCACCTGCCCGTGTACACGTGTAAATATTCATCGTTCGGTAAGATAAAGGGGAAAGAAATCACAAGGGGTTGATTTGTATCTTTGGGGGAACTAGGATTTATCGTACCATCAATAGACTGCATCGGCATCCTCGAAACAAATTAATCACTCGTATTTACTTCAACACCTCAAAGCCAAATATTCCTCCCTTTTCTTTTCTTTCTAAGTTAGAAAGTTTTTGCCTATTACCCGTATGTAGGTGCACTATTTCACCCTCCTCGCATTGATTTTGATAAACGTCGGAGCTTCTGCGTTTAATTGTCAGTGCCATTACCTATACAATGTATTTCACAGTACCTATAAATATATATATAGTATTACCCATGCACCAATCAGTCGATGATGCAAATTCAAGGACCCCCGCAGTAATCACCATACATCACCTAAATCCCTCTTTCAACGCTCTCGAGAGAGATAGGAGTGGTTTTTTTTCCAGTTCCCCCTACAACAGCTCTTCTTCTTCTTATTCATGTATATTTATTCTGTAATGATAGCTCGAGCCGAATATTGTAGGTGCTTCCATTATATACATACAACATAATGCATACGTGTGGATGTATGTCCTTCAGACGAGTGCTCCTCGACATTTACAATCCTTATACCTTACTTACTGATCCTCGGTAGAGATTCTCTCCTGCAAGGGACTATACACACGCGCGTAAATTGCCGACTTTGTCCTTCAACGCACGGGTATTTTTATAACATGCTGGGAATCGGAAACCCTTGGGTTAATTTTCCCAGACTTTTGTATAAATATAATTATGGTATTCACTCGGGCTGTGTAACCACTGAGCTACCCTATAGCTATTTTATTCTTTATCATATGTCCTATTGTATATGTATGTGTGAGGTTTCCGATGAAGTGGAGAAAATACATTTTTTAGCCATGATTCTCGATTTCACGAACAATTTTCGGTGAATCACGTTAAATTTGCGACAGGATACTTCACATATGCCGTATATATATAGCTTGTCTGCAATGTTTTTTTTTTTTTTTTTTTTTTTCCTCTCCACTAGGTAATGTTGTTCGACTTGAGTAATACTCATACAGCCAGTTGCATATAAGTTAATTTGACTGCTTAAATACACACTACAGAGATTCTTGGATTAAGTATATAGGGCTCAGAAAGCATTTAGACCGCGTAGAAGCTCCTAATGAATAAAAAAAAAAAAAAAGCTTACCAGTATACCTCCGCTCCCTCGCTCCCAAATTTAAGTTGTAAAGACACATAGAGACGCTGAACGCCAGGTCTTGGGTTATTGTGGGAGGGGGTTGTTTAGAGAGAAAGCCAGCCCCCTTATTTTTTGTTTTAACCCTACACTCATCCAGGCGCGTATAGCCACCCGTGTCGATTCTCTCGTTTCCAGCGAGCCAGCATGTAGATGTATACACACGTGCGTGTGCAAGTGCGCGGAAAATAATGGAACGCTCGCCAACGGGTGGCTGTTGCTCGCTTGCTTCGAGTTGCCCCTTTGTCCTCTTGGAAACGAGAGGAAAAGAGATTTTTACGCGAAGCTATATGTATGCCGAGGAGGAAAGAAAGAAAGAAAAAAAAAGAAAAAAAAAAAAGCAAGAAACGAGGTTAATCCCCACAGGACCGCGCTCCTCTGCATATTGGAGTACCGCCCGCGTTACGTCTGCCATACGCAACTCATTGTGTACATGGAAGCTCCTCCACCCCCCCCCCCTTCCCATCCGTCGTTATCTCTATCTCTTATGTTCTCCACCCCCGCGCAGGAAATGTTTATCGCTTGACGCTATCCTATCTCTAACGAAGTCGTCGGGAAGCTGCGATATAAATATATGTATATACACACGCGTGCTGTTGCTTTCTGTACGTATACATGCTTGTGTATCCGTGTCCCCCATGGCTTCCGAACCTCTTGTTTTCCCAGCCCTGCGCCTCGGGGAAATCCATCCGAGCTTTCGTCATTTCAAGCCCTCCTTGTTTTTTTTTTATGCGCACATCCCCGAGACAATGGACACTTTTGTATACGTATATGTATATACACCCACACATCGACGCCCCCTCCACACCTATTTGGCTGCAGGTTACATGGCGCACTTTGCCAAATGAAAAGGAAAGAGCGCCTGTACATTTTGTATCCCATTGTATGTGATTGTTTTTTCTTTTTGTTGTTTTTAGGTTGCTGTCAAACGGCGAGCTCGCACCGGCGTCGCGAGCAAGCCGAGCAGCAGCCGGGCAGGTTGTACTTCACGGTGAGCCCGAGCGATCACACGGTGGTGGAGGGCCTGCCGGTGACGTTGCGCTGCAAAGCCGAGCCGCGGGGCCTTGTCACCTACGCCTGGAAAATGGAGCCCGAGAAGCAGACCCTCGCCCCGAGTCCCCGGAGGCACGTTGTTCCCGAGGGCGACCTCGTCATCACGAGGGTCGATCGGCTACTCGACAGTGGTAACTTTGTCTGCGTGGCCACGAGGCCCGCCGAGGACGAGGACGCTGGCGACGACGTCATCGAGAGCTCACCCGCCAAGATAGACGTGCAGTGTGAGTTGACGCTCCTTTTCCTTTTTTTTTTTTTTTTTTTTTTTTTTTTTTTTTTTCCATATAAGGATGATGGCTAAATTGCATATAAAACAAATATCCGTTTGGGGGGGAGGGTGATTAAAATATTTTCACGTTCGTGCACGTGTATACATGTGTAATTAAAACTGGATGGAAAAAAAAAAAGAAAAAGAAAATAATTCAATCCAATGGCAGAGCTCGGTCATTACCGAAATCACCCATAATATTATGTTTTCACACCCTCTCTGTGTGTGCTACGGCGTGTGCAGTACTCGGTCCTTTAATTAAGCGCACCGATTAATTATTCGTGCGAGTCCGTGCAAACACGTGTATATACACATTATACGCGTACCCCTGCATATATGTAGGTATACAAGGAGACACGAAACTGGAAACTTATACATATATACGTGTATATACCTACATGCAGTTGTGTACGAGCGTAAGGTTCGTTAGGGAAATTCACATCAAGCGAGTCCTCTCTGCGTCATTATATGTTTAGGATCGCGTCGTAATTATTATCGCGAGCCGAGCCTCTCGTTCGAGTATACACCCCCTTTTTCACCCCACGTGCATGTATATACATATATAGTACATGTTTATATACTTTCCACCCCGAAAGTATATATACTCCGCGTAATTGCAATAAACTCGCTCGCGCGCGTTATTTTTTTTTCGCTTTCGTCCTCCTTCAACTCAATCATTTTTCACGCCTATACCCTTCGCGTGTAATGTATGCTCGCTGTGGCTTTACTTTTAAGAAACAATTTTTTTTTTTAATCAATTATTGTAAGCTTTTCCCTCACAGTCAGGGCGAACGAAGGGATTACATCCATCGATGGAAATTTCGCAGCTCGCGCGTGACTGCGTATTACGGCGCACTGATGGGACACAAGAGAGGGGTTCGGCTGCCCTGATGAAAGTCTGGAGCGGGGCGCGTTGGATTTTCTCCCGCTCTTCCTTTTTTTTTTTTTCACTCTCTGCCTGCGAATCACCGCGATCGCGCCTGCAAGTATTTGGACCTTGAAACGTTGTAGTTTTTTCTTTTTTTCCTATAATACAAGGAAATATTAACGAGTTGTACAATTATTTTCTTGTATATTTCGATTACTTGGATGTCTTGCTTTAATCGAGCAAGAATTTCATTCGACTCTCGTCTCCCTGTATATTTCTGACGGAGCGGCTTATGAATGTTTTATCGGAGCACCTTACTTTGAATTCCTTGGCTTTGTAGGAGAGCCAGAAATTCATGAGAAGAGTGACTTTTGCCATTCTCATTATAGCCGTGTTATTCCGGAGTTTGTGCGCCTCTCGGACAAAGTTAATTTGTTTTAATGATGAAAAAAAAAAAAATTTTGTTTCCTACTGTGTATACATGCAGAGGAGGTGAAAAATATTTCTTGTTTACGGATATCGTAATCGATAAACGAAACAAAACAAAGTGCAAGTCTTATAAAAATTGGTGGGGTAATGAGAAAAGCAAAGTAAATCCTGTTTGGTTGAGGTAACGCAAGTTGAGGATAACAAGCGTAATCGGGATGATCGGTTGTGCCGGCGTTACTTCGGCTTCTGTGCTCCTCGGGTATATAATATATATCCTGTACATTCAATCGGATCAGTGAGTCAGAAAACATCGGGGAGAGTTTCCCTTGGCGTGTATACAATCAATGAACGAGCTTTTCGGGGAGAGTTTTACTTTTCTTCTCTATTTTCTTCTTTTTTTTTTTCTTTTTTTCCTCGATGCCACACGGTTTTTCAATTAAAACGTGGAAATTACTGGCGCTCCGAGGTGTGTCGCGACACCCGAGGCTCTCTCGCGAAGTTTCGTTAACTTTTTTTTTTCTCCCGTATTTTGCAGTGGAATCTCAACGAGATGAGAATTGACAAAGTTTTTGCTTCGCTCTTGGCTTAATTCGAGAAACTTGAGGACTCGTCGATTTCCAGGTGCGTTTGGCATCGATAGATAACGATCCGTTCAATCGTTGAAACAAAGTTTTTCCTGCAATTATTTACTCTCATTAAATTATAAATTAATCCAAGTAAACTCCTGAGAATAAATAATTACAGGAAACACCCTTTCGTTTTTCAGTTTTCAAGCTCAGTTAAAAAAAAATTCATACGTTGATTTTTTGTATGACCGTCTGATGCAAGTCTTTACGTAACTACCGATTATTGGGCGTAACTAATGTAAACGCTCTTTTTCAACTCCAGATACAAGCTCTATTTTGCGGCAATTTCGTGTATGTAAACGTTGCGCAGTAAACATTGCACCGTGTATAAAACTTCCACTGCACGCTAAGTTTACTACTTACGGAAGAAAAAAAACAACATATTATATCTTTGCCATTTATTCGTGAAAACTCTTATTCCTTTTATTTATTTCGACCATACAAGCGCGTGAGCACATGTTATCTTCTCAGCCGCGGAGTTATTAACAAAAATTNTTTTTTTTTTTTTTTTTTTTTTTTTTTTTTTTTTTTTTTTTTTTTTTTTTTTTTGTATAAAAGCTCGAATGGCGGTCGCGGTAAGTTGGCTTAGAGGGAAAGCAGGGAGAAGCGAGCTGAAAACTCTGACTTGTTTGCGCACGGGAGTGATATACCACGGCTCGGCGTGTACTTATTTCATTCGAAAAACCTGCACGGACAGATATTCATCTGATGCGAGTTGGTGTGTATACATACCTTGTTATTCGTGGGATGCATGTTTTTTTTTCTTCTCCCTCCCCCCCTTTTGTCTGAGCGTATAAATATACATAAGGTATGCTTTCTTGCTTGCGTGGTGTATATGTGCGTATACTTACAACATGTAAAAGAAAGAAAGAAAGATGAGTACGAGGTGGGTTGGTGGGAAAGGGGGAGGTGGCTGCAATGCACTGCAGACGGGGTGGGCGCCGTTGAGTGCAGCGGTGACTGCGGGGCTGCACGAAATTCAAGCAAGAGAGGGTGTAAAGGAAGGGAAGGAAGTTGGAAATTCGACATTGGCCGCGACGTAAGGGTGCAGCAGTCGGAGTGATGATTATTACAGTGATGCTTCTTTGCTCCTTGGTACTTACAGGGTGTACTTGCACACATGTTATACACAAGACATACATATACTTACAGGGATGAGAAATCGTGCCTTTTCTTTAAATGTAATATATACGTAGGTATATACGTCGCTGTTGCTGAAAAAGACGAGCAGTCAACCATATAATATATACAGCCAATGGTGTCTATTGCACATTCAACCGTAAACCGATACGTAAAACGCCACGTGGAGGAGCGCAATATGCAAGACTCCCCTTCGTGCTTTATATAGCTATATACCACGTTATACCACTTACACGTATACACGTTTAATGCTGCTGATGCCGTTCTCCATATTTCATTCGGGCAAAAATTATAATAATAATAACGATAGTAGTAGCAACGCGATCCCTCGCATTGGTCGTACGCGCTGCATTGTGTACTATTGTGTGCCGCATGTAATAAAAATATAACGTATTAATGTGCATAAGTACCGGCTATTACCAACACCACGGGAGAGCCATATATACAGTTTTTGAGTTAAAACCATTCTCTCTTTCTTTCACTCTCTTCCCCCTCTCGTGTAATAATAATAACAACAATTCAGTATAAATTGCACAGCATTGTGTTGTGCTTTAACGCGCGCGTATGTGCCATGGAGAGGATGGGTGCGTTGAGTTGGACTCTTTTTTTTTTTTCCGGGATTTTGATTATTACGGGAGAAATTAAAGTGAAAATAAAAAAGAAAAACGAGAAGAAAAAATAAAATAAAATTCAACTCGGCTCTCGGCAGTGCGCGTCCATCCGAACTGCACGCGGAGTGTGTACCCATATATATATATTTTTTTTTTTTAGATGTATACACACGTG